GAAGATTGCATTGCGTGGGAAGAGAACAGGAAAAGACTGAGATTTTGTAAAGCAGAGTTTAGGTGGAGGAGACCAAGAGAGGCACTTTGTCATTTGTGTTATTCTAAGGAAACAAAGGCTACTCAGAGATCTATGAGAATTTTAGTAGCAACCGGCCACAAGAAGCAAAGAAGTAATAGGGTGTTTGAATTATTAGAAAAGAAAGTTTCAAGTAATTTAAGAAACCCACCAAAAATAATTCAAGCTGAGTGTACTCAGCCTATTTTCATACCCCAAGACTTTGGATTATGGCAAAAAGTTTAGATGGAGTAGAAAGATGGGGGCTAAGAAAATGGAATTTTTAGTAGACACGGGGGCAGCAAACTTAGTGTTAAATAAAGCCTCAATGCCTGTAACAGATGATTATGTTATGGTAAGGGGGCAACTGGCCAATCTGAAAAAGCATACTTTGCAAACCATCAAAATATTCATACGTTTTGGATATGCCCAACTCTCCAAAGGCCCTTTTAGGCAGGGATTTGTTGGAGCAGCTGGAAGCAAAGATCACATTTAAAGATGTGGAGATTATTTTGGAGGCAAAGGATCAACAATATGTAGACATACTAAGCTTAATTTTAACAATTAGTGAAACTGAAATTGAAAATAAGGATGAAATTGACAAGAAAATAATGCATCTGGAGCTTCCTGGGGTATGGGCCTCTAACATACCCAGGAGGGCAGAGAATGCACCTCCTTGTGCAAGTTAAGGAAGACAACCAGTTAGGGTCAGGCAGTAAAAGCCTGATCTGCACCCAGTGGTGGCAAACCTATACACCTTGCTAACATGTTTGACACCTGAACTAACCTGGTTTACCATTTTAGATCCGAAATATGCCTTCTTTTGCCTCCCTATCCATGAAGCCAGCCAGAAAATTTTTGCATTTGAATGGAAAAGCCCTAAAAGCAGGTGCAAAACCCAGTTCACATGGATAGTGTTGCCTCAAGGCCCTCAAGGCTTCAAAAATTCCCCCACTCTGTTTGGGGAACAACTAGCAAAAGATCTAGAGTCCTGGGAAGCTCCAAAGGAAGAAGGAAGGCTATTGCAGTATGTGGATGATCTTCTAGTGGCCACTCAGATGAGGGAAGCATGTGTGGCCTGGACAGTAAGGCTTTTGCATTTCCTAGGACTCCAAGGATACAGAGGATCAAAGAAAAAGGCCCAGGTAGTGAAACAGAAAGTTATCTACCTGGGGTACGAGGTGAGTGCTGGGCAACGGACTCTAGGGCAGGCTTGCAAGGAAGCCATAGGCCAAACCCCAAAACACCAGACAATAAAGGAACTCTGAACCTTCTTAGGCATGGCAGGGTGGTGCCGGCTCTGGGTTTATAATTATGGACTGCTCATCAGACCTCTCCATGCTCTTATTGCCAATGGAAACAGAGATCTCCAGTGGACAAAGGAAGCCACATGAGCCTTTTACCAGCTAAAGAGTGCCCCCATGTCAGCTCCAGCTTTGGGACTTCCAGATGTAAGTAAACCGTTCTTTCTTTTTCACCATGAAAAACAGGGACTTGCTCTGGCAATATTGGCTCCGCACTTGGGTCCACATGGAAGGGCAGTTGCTTACTTTTCCAAGCAACTAGATGCAACAGCCAAAGGATGGCCAAGTTTCCTCAGAGCTGTAGCAGCAGTTGTGCTGAATATTCAAGAGGCATGCAAGTTTACCCTGGGACAGAAAATGACTGTGCTAGTGTCCCACACAGTGTCCGCAGTACTGGAAGTAAAGGGTGGCCACTGGCTTTTCACCAGAGAGGTTTCTGAAATACCAGGCCATCATGGTAGAGCAAGATGATGTGGAGATAGTGGTGACTAATATTGTCAACCCAGCTTCTTTTCTCAGTGGAAATCAAGGAGAAGCAGTACACCACGATTGCCTGGAGACTACTGAAGCTACCTACTCCAGCCGCCCAGACTTAAAGGACACTCCTTGGGACAGTGCAGAGACCTCGTTCACAGACGGGAGTAGCTACATTGCCAGTGGAAAGCGGCATGCTGGATATGCAGTCACTACCTGCAGAGAGGTAATAGAATCCAGACCCTTACCAACAGGTACCTCTGTGCAGAAGGCCAAGATAATTGCACTGACCTGAGCCTTGGAAATGGCAAAAAGAAAGAGAATAAACATCTATACAGACTTGAGGTATGCATTTGGAGTTGTGCAGACTCATGGAGCCATCTGGAGAGAGAGGGGACTGCTGACCTCACCAGGAAAGAACGTCAAACATGTGCAAGAGATAATCCAGCTGCTGGAACCAGTTCAGCTGCCTGAAAGGTAGCAATTGTGCATATTAAGGCACACCAGAGAGTGAGCTCAGAATTGGAAGAAGGAAATGAGCTGGCGGATAGAGAGTCAAAGGAAGCAGCGAGAGGTAATTATTGAAGGAGGTCTAATTCCAGATGGACAAATTTCCCTTGAAGGTAAGCCAGAATATAATAAGAAAGGCAGAAAACTAATCAAAGATCAAAAAGGGACATGCAACCAAGAGGGGTGGGCTACCATCGAAGGGAAGCTGGTAATCCCTTCCTGTTTGTTGTGGTCACTAGTAAGGGAGGAGCACCAGAAAACACACTGGGGAGTAGAAGCCCTGAATGCCTATTTGATTGAAAGAATTGTTGCCTGGAATTTATGTGCCACTATTGCTCAAGTGACCCAACAGTGAGATCTTTGCCTCCAGACTAACAACAAGAACACCCCAAGGCCAAAACTTGCCCAGATTGGGAGGGGTCGTGGACCTGGACAGCAGTGGCATATGGACTTTTCAGAACTCCCAAGGAAAGAGGGGTATTGGTATTTATTAGTATTGACAGATACATTTTCATGGTGGCCAGAAGCATTCCCCACTAGAACTATCAAGGCTCAAGAGGTGACCAGGGTATTATTACAAGAAATAATACCACACTTCAGAGTTCCAGCCACAATATCATCAGATAGAGGATCACATTTCATTTCCCGGATAGTACAACAGATCAGTAGCCACCTGGGCACAGATTGGGAACTTCATACTCCATACCATCCCTAATCGAGCAGCCACGTGGAGAAAATGAATCATTTTAATCTACCCTGGCCCCAAGCTCTTCCACTGGCACTGATATGAATTTGAACTAAAACTAGAGCCAAAGAAAGACTGAGTGTCCCTTTGATATTCTTTATGGAATTCCATATGGAATACAAAAGGGGATGTCCACCCACACTGGGGAGGTAACATTAGCCAACTATATGGTGCCTTAAGTAAACAGCTCAGAGAAATTGAAAAACGTGTGGCTGGAACTTGGAGCAGGCAGCTAGATGGACCAGTACATAAAATGCAGCCTGGGGATTATGTATATGTTAAGTCTCTTACAGAGAAGACTTTGGTACCACAGTGGGAAGGACCATTCCAGGTGCTTCCCACCACCTTCACTGCAGTCAAGATCAAGGAGCAGAACGACTAGATCCACCACTCTCAAGTGAAGAACACCCCAGAAGCTCCGTGGAAAGTTACATCAAGAGACAATGAACTAAGACTATAACTTACTTGGGCAAAATGAGTATATTGCGGCCGGGGTTAATGTAATTTCATTTACAGAATTGTTTTGTGTATAATTGTAATTGGAGTTTGGGATTAGAGAGTACTTCTATCCAAAGCGATGCTGAATGGCCTTGGTCCCAGGCTTTTAATCAGTCTACTGGATCCATGGCAGAACCTTCTGAGATAAAAGATTTAAACCTATCCACTGTAGTAATCCTTGGGAATCAGATATATGAGGAGCAGGAGTGGCAGGAATAGGAACTGTGGACACTTCAAGGGATCAGAGGAGAAGAAATCAGGGCAGGATGCCGGGTGGTCCGTGGGACCACTCATGAGAGACCAAATCAAATTAGTGTTTCAGCCTCTCCTGTGTACAGGCACCAGGAGGTTTGGGATAGCCCAAGTAAATCAGACTGTTTGTGTAATTTCACATTAATACAGCCTGTAGAAGTGATTTGTCCTTGGGCTCATGATGCTCTCGGGCTCTCATTTAAATTTAAAATAGATGCTATACCTTTTGCAACGGCAAGACCTCATACAACCTAAAGTATATGAAATTGGCCCATACGTTGTGAGGAATATGGGTCAACGGCAGCTGTTATTCAATCCAGAGTGGTCTCTCAAATGTGTTGAATTGCCAATGCAAATTAACATCTCAGAAAACCAACTAGCCTGCTCCTCTTTCCTAAGGACATCCTTTGAGGGCCGGACAACGTAGTTCCAGAGACAAGTACACCTCCGGAGCAGAGTAAGAAGGGATCTAACTGGGATAATAGGGACAGGATTGGGAGTTTTAAATGGAATTGATTCAGAAATACTGATGAATAAACTGGCCACTGCAGCAGGTGTTCTAGCAAAATTGAAGCAGCTTTTACAGTCATCTCTATTGGCATTAGGAACTAGCCAGTGGCAGATTTCAAAAGTACTGCCAAAGTGGGAAAAGGCTGGGGACCAAGACCACAAGTTAATAGTAGAAGCCCCTAGTATAGTTCAACATAATGTGTCTTTAGCTTTCAGTTGTATACAAGCACAGTTATGGATGTAGGCAACAGCATCTCTGATTGTACAGGAAAGGGGTGAAGGTGATTTTCCAGCTGAAATTAGATTGTCTGGGATAATGTGATTGATTTTGAAAATAAGTCCTGGTGGACTACGATAAATTTTACCTATGATCCTGCTTCTAAAGTGGCCACTGCCTTTATGCTTACTATACGTAAGGCCACTGTTTATGTTATCCACCTCGTCATTGCACTAGGATTAAATTATTAAAAAGTGGTACTCCACCCCTCAGAACATGGGGTGTGGGCACGAAAGGTGAATGAAAAGTGGCAAACAGTAAACTTAGAATCTTGTGCTGCTAGGGAACAACTAGGATTCATTTGTGAAAGCAATACTATTATTGCTCAAGATGTGAATGTTGACAATGAACAAAGTATTTGCCATTTCGAGATTCATCCAGTTATCTTGACTTTACCTGAAAAAGACAGGTAAAAAAATGCCTTCAACAAGCCTACCCCATGGCATTCGATGATCCCTTACCATTCCCCCCCGTCCCCACCAAACAGTATCAAAGTGTGATTGAAAAGGGCAAAAATTTTACCACAAATTTGTACAGTTTGCAGATGATTTGTTAATTAACAAGTTGAGATAAGATCTTTCCCTTCCTGTGGTAACCCTCAGACAAACCAGCACACCAAGCTGCAGTTTGTGTCTCTGCAGCTGGCTCTTTGATTGCTCCGTCCCTCCATTGCCACGCTTATACAGCCCTCTCATCTTCCACAGCTCCTCCCTTTCCCTGCCCTCGTCTCCTCCCACATACGGAGCCAAGCCCAGGCATCATTTCCCCCTGGCTCACAGGCTGGCCGTGCCTGTGAACAGCCTTGGTGTTGCAGATGCTGTTGGCCCACTCACCTTGGCCTTCCACGGCATTCCTGGTGCACTTTCCTAGGGTTCCTGCCAGCTTCCTCTCCCCAGAATGACCCCAGCTCTTCCT